TTATTGCCTGCTAACACTCTGTGCGGAGATTGAAATGTCCAGCCTAACTCTCTTTGTGAAGCACTTCTCCCGCGTCGAACATGCCACATGGTGTGAACGGCAGCGGAGGTTCGCTGCGTCGAACACGCGCGTGAACGGCATTCAAAAGGTTCCGGACTCTGTACTTGCGACCGTTTTTCCAAAGTTCCTTGGCCTTAGCTTCTTTTTGTGCACCTTCCACTTTCATGGCGACGGGCAGATCTTGCACGACGAGCTTCCTGGTTCCCTCATGGGGCCATTGTTCCTCAGCACTAGGTCCCTTTCTTCCATGTACACAAAGGCCTCGAGGCCTCATATCAGGCCTCGAGGCGCTTTGCTTGTCTCGTTTCTTCGGCCTTGAGACGTAGACGGAGGAAGACGGTGGACTGTCGAGAAGGCCATCCCATCCACATGTATGGCGTTTAGTTTCATATTCGCCTTCAGGATTTTTTTGAGCACATCTTTGCTGTTCCGTTTCCGCTCTTCAACTCCATAAAAATGAGATTATTTTTGTATTGGTGCAATTCCAAATTCATTAAATCTCCTACCAACTTTTCATACTTCTTCTCTAACCCCTTCACCTCCTGAAGATTCTCATTCTTGAGATTCTCCATCTCCTGATCCTGCCATTTCATCGTATCTTCTAGAACCCTCACCTTCTTGGAGAGATGTTTCTGCTCTTATTTGATCCATTTACCCTCCTGCGGTAAGATCCTTTCCAGTTCCTCCGCTCGATTCTCCAACTTATCCATCCTTTCAGTCAGCTTCTTCAGTTCGACGCGATGCCACTCTTAATCTCCAGGAGGATGTCTTTCAAGATTGTGTCCTGTACACTATGTTCTTCTGAGAAGTGCTTCGGGACTCAGTCATTTCTTGAATCGGGGGTGCCATGGAGTCCTCGGATTCATTTGCAGTGGAGGCACTTCCCTTTTCACTTTGTCTTGGATCTGAAGAATCTTCTTTTCTCCCAATCCTGTTTTTTTTTTCACCGAACTGGAAAAACGTCCTTCAGTGTCACAGTAATTTCCGTGGTACTCACACCTTTCTTTTTTGGGCCCATGTGCACTGAGTGAGATAGCAATGGTAGGCCTCTGTCTGACCTTCCACACTATGCGACCTTCAGCCTGACGGAACGCGGCTCAAACGCGTCCGGCTATGGTAACAGCCTAGGCAGGAATCTCTGGGGGGCACTATTTTTGTGAGGGATGTTCTCTTGAAAATTTTGCTTCAGGGAAACGGATTTTTTTATATATGGCTGGGAATAACGAACTCAAAGAAAATCTTTATTTTGTCGTATGCAACCCCATCTTTTATATTTTGGTTGCAAAAAGTTCTCAGATCTTCCTGCCCCCATACTACGTGTTATTTGTTTAGGAGGGAGAACTAGTAAACTAAGAAGCACAATTGCGCTCAGAGAAAGCTGGTTGGTATAGTCTTGCTATAGAAGGGGCTGCATTTAGGATGAACTCTAAAGTGACAATTCTGGGGCTACGAAGAATCTATGTTTGATTAATGTTCCGAACATCAGACTAAAAATCATTTCACACAAGCAAGAGTAGCTTAAAGTAGTAGGAGTAGCTTAAGCTCAGGATGAAAAATATCCTAATGATCCAAGAAGTTTTACCCAAGTTGTAGTCATAAGAATCGAAAGGGGATGCTTCAAATGTACGTTTTATAAATCTTTCATGGAGCGAACCGAGCCGAAGGCACATTCATAGCGAGAATGTTTGCCCGAAGAGCAGACAAACTCGTTTGTAACACATGCGCATCCATTAGGGTACTGGTATGCATAACCCTGTGTCGTTTCACCTAACTTACGATCTAGAAAGACATAGGTCAAATAGCTTCGCGTATCAGGCTAAGGCAACCGTATTTTTTGTTTGATAGGCATAAAATATCCTGGATGCCAATGGGTCAACATTGGTTTAAGCCTAAGCATAAATAGGACTAAATATGGGCCTGATATGTCAGTCCTATTGTGAGACGTCCCTCCAAAGTCGATATTTATCTGTGGTTAGCAATCCATCAACTATTTGTATTCCTTACCTGTCCCCTGAAGGAATAAATGTGTTAGAGTGGTGTTAGCATAATTGCCCACCAGTGGGTTAGGCCTAGGCATGTGAAACCAGTCTTCCTCGAGCTGTACCCTTAAAGCCTGTACATTTGAATTTGGCCTTTCTCTGCAGTCGGGAACCGTGCATCTCTTCACGATTTTTTCAATTTCGTTGAAATAATTGTGTGCATGAAAATGGCATTGACCCAAGGGTCCATTCTTGGGCTAGACCTAGGCTGACAAATTCAGGGCACCGTGAAATGTGCTCCCTGAGCATGTAGGGGAAAGTGGGGCTAAATGGGGCGAAGGGCAATATAGGACAACTCAGATTTTTCCCAAACCACACCTGATATCTACCGGCTATTTGATCTATTGTTACCTCCCACCGCATGTGCAAGGTTTCAGGCAAGTCGGCTCTCTGTGAAGTATTTTGTAAGCATCCCAGAACCAAAATAAGAAAAGAGCGATTTATTTTGTTTCATGTTTTTAACAAAGTAGCGCGCGAACATTGGAGGTGTCCCGTATATTTTTTTTGGCTGAAGTTGAAAATGTGAACTATTACATGAAGTCAATGATTTTTGCTTAGATCACTCACCTTTTTTGGCAGTGTCTTAATAATATACGGTGCTGATGAGTCAGAACGGGTTGACGCTCAGGGAAAAAATGGTGCGGGTATAAGGGCTCAATGTATCTTTTCTCAGTTGGCAGGAATATCCTTTACGATCGTGAGGCTCAGGCTAAAGCGATATGTTACTGTTCAGATTCTTTCCTTTGCTCCAAACCCAGCGAAGATTGTGTCACCGGAATTCGGCTCATGACAGATGTGCATGCCTCGATAACGACATGGATGGGGATGCGTTTCTCTGTGAATTTTGTAAATTGCATCTATGATGAAAACCTGGAAAATAATTTCAAACAGCAACAATTGCTTTGCCTTTAAAGTTTCATTGTTTTTTTTCCGTTTTGTGGCCTCAATAAGTAGGCATACAATGAGCATATGGAAAAACAAAGAAAAAACAATGTTTATTTACAGATGCTTCATTACTGTTTCTATTATTGGGCCTTTGTAAATAGGAATGAAGACCTGGGCGGAAACAAGAGAAAGCATCTGCTTGCAATTTGTGGATGTTTCTTTGCGGTCTCTGTTCCGTGAACTTTGTAGGCTGGCATAAAATGAAGACACGAGAAAGCATGTGGAAAATCATTCATTTTATTGTTTGTATATATTTAATTGATGTTTCTGTGCTGTGACCTATTTAAATAGGTACACATTAGGAATGAAAACTTTGTAAAACAATATTTAGAGTAGAACCCTGTTTTGTTCTACAGGACATCCCATTTGGCCTCATGGGTGGGGTAAAACGGGGTATTTGACCACAAATTTTTGAATCGTTTGTGGGAAAAAACCGTCGCTTATTTCGCGATGAAGTTGAATCATATTCGAAGGTGAGACATGAGAGGTACCACATACCAATCCGCAACGTGCTACGCCAATTCCTTGGTACCACATTTTGGCAATTTTCTTGAACCGCCCCGTTTTACCTCACCTTCCCCTACTTGTAAAGGTTGGAAGTTTTCTGGAGTCAGCAATCTAACAGCATTGGTGCACCATTTCTCATAATGTCATCGATCCGAACCAGAGCGTAGAGTGTGCTGAGGAATGGTTGAAGGAACTGGAACACCTCAATTGCGAATAATGTCATCTCATGCAATGTTACGAAACTCCACCTTTCTGGGAAAGAGAACCGCCACATGGTCATCAAACAACCCACCAAATCGCGTTCGGTGTAAGCATTGGCTCTCCAAATCTTATCGCATTCTGTGATTCTTTGAGTGTCATGGAAACGTGGTCTCACACATGTCTAAAGGGGCTCCGGGCAGAATAGAGCGATGAAGGAAAAGACACCGACGCTCTGGGCTAGGTGATCCATGCCATTTGACCTGTTCAACAGCTATTACAACCTGTTTCTACGGTCAATATAACATGCCATATATATTAGATACGACTTGGAAGTACTCCCCATTCCAAGGACAGCCCCAGCTGAAGTCTCTCTGAACATGCCATCGACTGTTAATGGCTGGCTCAAAATGTCTCACAAAAAGACTACTCGCACTAACAAAATAAGTTATAGGCGAAGCAGCCGACAGACGACGTTCAGCATGTAAGGAGATGACAACGGCTAAATTGTCACTGGTGAGGGAAGCCTTTATTCTCACATGTAAACATCTGTAAAATGACCTACACCCCAATAGGTTCCTTAAAGTTAAAAATCTAAAAGACCTAGTTAGAGGTAAGCATAACGAGGAAAAAGCTCTGTAAACAATATTTTAATTCACTGGGAAAATTAACATTTTTGCCTCAATTCGAGGCTATTTGCAAGGTAGAAACCAAGTCCTCGTTACTGTAGATTGAAATACTAATTTCCACCACTGCTGTACGGTATTTAATGGAAGTTTCTTATTTCTTTTGTAGTACAAATCCTTTTAGGACCAAACTCGCATGATATGGGGCAGACTCCTTTGGAGTGTCCATGTCAATTTTAGTAAACATGTATCACCCTAAGATAATTGAGCCCAAGTTGGGATAGTCAGAAATTTATGTGACATTGGGGCGCAATGGGATAATAAGCGTCACCGTTGACCATTTTGACCAGATATTGAGATTTCGGGAACACAATTCCACAATCAACCTAGATTGGCTCGTGAATTTCGTACAATCTCGCCTGGAAATGATCCGCTTGATATTTCTGTAAGAAATTCCTGCCATTTGTTACACCCTATATATATATGATCGAAAGGAAAGGACGAAGAGATGGAGCCAGATGCGTGTTTGATATAAAACAATTGTCCCCATCTACATTCATATATTCAGGTTCTGTATACTGGGTTAATGTATAGCATTTTACAGGCTGCAGGAAGGTCTCAATATATGGACGCTTCGATGGAGCTGAACATTAATGCTCAGGTAAGAATATGGGATAGCTCTTTTTACGTATTCTTTTATGCATCGTGATGACAAAATTGGATCGACTAGAAGCTGTTAAGAATATTGCATCCTGGTGATTAGGGCTCGCAAGAGATGGCGAAAGAGTTGACGCTTGCACAGAAAATTAAGGAGAAGTGCACGACTAATGACGGATTCATATATAAACTTCCGCTTAAGGTAGCATTAGAAGATGAAAATAATCTATTGGCTTCATATGAGATCGGCGATCCAGGGGCTGGAGGTGGAGTGGGGAAGGTACTGATGCTTGTCGGAGCTACAGGATCAGGTAAAGTGAATTGTTGAATATATTTGAAATTTAAGGTAGACAAACCTTACGAAATGTTCACCAGCAAATGGATTTGGAATTAGGTGGAAGTCTCCGTATTAGGCGTATTTTCACCTGTCCATATGGTAAAAAAAAAACAGGAAACATCTACTTAGCTCGAGAAAAACGTGCGCGAACGACCGAGTGAGACATCTATTTGGTTTTAAATGCACATAATATGCACCTGGTCGTCTACACAGGTGGATGCAGGTGCACGTTTCGTAAGGGGATTCGTGCCGTTCCACATTGATTTTTATAGATACTTCTCCTTCCTCAGGCAAAACTACTCTTGCCAACTCGATCGTGAATTATGTGTACAGAGTCACTTGGGAGGATGGATTTCGTTTCAAATTGACCAGCGACGAGAGTGGAGAGAAGTCCCAAGCTCGCAGTCAGAGCAAGTGGATCACTACATATGTCTTGCACCAGCAGGAAGGCTTCGCTTTGCCGTACACCTTGACAATAATTGATACTCCTGGATTTGGAAATACTGAAGGCATACATATGGATGAAGGATTGAGGTATCAGATTCAGAAGTTCTTTTGCAATGGAGGCCATGTTGGAGTCCATGAACTAGTTGGAGTCTGTTTCGTGGTGCAGGCATCAGTTGTCACGAGGCTCAGCATCTCACAAAAGTATATTTTAGACTTCATCTTGTCTATGTTTGGAAAAGACGTTGTTGAGAACGTCTACGTGTTGACCACGTTTGCGGATACTCATGATTTGCCAGCAAGAAATGCTATGAAGAGTGCCGGCTTTTCGCCCTCAAGAACATTCACGTTTAATAATTCCGCGGTCTTCCTGGCGCCGCTGAAAATGCGCGATCTCTATGTATTCGAAACTGAAAAATTATTTTGGAATATGGGGAAAGGAAACTTTGACAATTTTTTTGAGAACATCCAAGAAACCAATCCTATAAGCCTGTCTTTGACTAAAGCAGTCCTGGAAGAGAGGAAACTTTTGGAGGAAGCCCTGCAGGGTATCCAAGCACAACTCAAACCAAGTAAGGAAAGACATTTCGGCCTTAATTTAATTTATCCTGGAATATAGAATATATTCATTTGAACTGCTTCTCCTATCAGTCCCTGAACTGCAGAATCAGAGCGCGGCACCATGGTCAACATTAAAACACCAGAGAACAGAAAATACCAGGAGATTCGACACTTTGAAAAGAGTGCCAGGAGGGAAATATACGACATCAGCTATTGGTCCTGAAGGATTTCTACCGAAACTCATGGATGTCAATTGGACGGGTGAAGAAATCGTGAATCTGAGGAAGAGGGCATATGAATCCATGCAAAAACTTAAAAATATAGCGTTGAAGCCAGACCCTTTGGGGGTCTCCGATTATATCGATCTCTTGATCGAGACCGAGAAACAAGAAATTGAACCTGGTTATATACAGAGAATTAAGTACCTTCAAGGCATAAGAGAAAAAGCTTCCTTGGGTGAAAAGCTCAAGAAAGACTTCGACATGTTCGAGAGATAAAAGGAATTCTGAGAGGTATGTTCATACTTTCAACTTGAACCACCGGTTATCATATCAAACCTTTGCTGGCATTCTGTGATTTGTTAAAATCAATATACATTGGTGAGGCAAATGAAAACATACCTTCTATTGAGATTAGTTGGAGTTCATGATGCAGCAGGTAGCACGAAAACGGTCGTTTTGCAAAGGATTCTATGTATTCTTTGAACGTCCTGAAAGTATTATTCATATTTCTCCTTCCATTTTAGCACAATGGCGAAAGCAACTTAATGTTTATAATTTTGCGCGGAAACGTACCGGAGGGTGAGTGATTGCTTAGCCTTGAGCAAGGTGAGAGGTTATCTCAGGTGAGAGGTCCTCCCTGTGCACCTGAAAATGATATTATTTGCGGAAGGATAGGGCAGGGCAAGTATCTAGCAAGAATTTCTTAGAACGGGATAAAATAATGTAGTCCTTGCATTATGAGGTTCATTCAAAAGCTGCAAGAAACCAGTTCATCTGAGTGGAAGAGTGGGAGTGGAGAACTAACACTATCCGGAACTGAAGGAAACTGCATTCATGTGGAATGATTCATTATTTCTGAAGGTGATTATCCCGGGAGACGAAATTCCCACCTCCAAATAGCCAGACATAAGGACGAGTCAGAAAGCTGCTCAGTAGATTCTTATGTGCAGAGCGAAACTTTGAAAGCGATCATCATTCCTATTGAGTGGGGCAGTTCCAACTTTCCGCGTTCTGGTGAAAGCGCAAAAATAACGATCCAGTTGCTTTCATGAAATCACATCCATGTTAAAACGGCTTGAGATGAACGGCAGCAATTTTCGAACGATCAAAGAGTGCATAGACATGTGTACGAAATAATTTTTTTTTCACACACTCACAACTGCTGATTTCGCACACTCACACATTTAGGAAGAGCGGAACATTTTTTCCCCATGACCTGATTTGGGACTATCGTGGGACCCCTTATCCGAGCAAAGAGTCTTTTGGCTGAACGCGCTTTAGTAATCGACTTTTCATTTGTGATTGCAGACAGGATATGAGATGGTCACAATGTTACATTTACTGATATTCTGAAATCTTTAAGGATTTGAAAATAACTTATCAATAGTTATATTTACAAGCACAATATGCTTCCTTCTGTATGGCATTCTAGCTATATATGCCCGCTGGAATCGTTTCATGGTGAAACTTTCTTGGAAAACGTAATTCGTAAATAAACTTTCTGTTGCGTTGAAATACAATAAGAAAACCATTAAATATAAACTATGAAAATAATCTATAAAATAATCTAACAATAAAATAATCTTCGTAGGATATCAGTTTTCTGTATCAGCCTCTCTACTGCAACCACAAATTCCATGGAATATGTCTCCCCAAAAATGTATGCCATAAATAAGGAATATCTCGAATAAAGATTTTTCCCACATATGCATCTGGACAGTGACTTTGTGCCTGAGTTTCAGTTTTTGTCTCTCCGTTTTGTGACAGAAAATGTTCAGGAATACCTGTGTTTAAAAAAGTAAGGCCCCTATACAGATTCACCTTAAACATAGGAAATTTCCTAAGATCAGTTCTCCAAGAACAACACGATTGCCAAATATCACTTATCTATTTTTCCACTTTGAATCTTCTTATTGCAAAAATGTATTTGGTGGAAAATTCTGCAAATAAAAGCCTTTCAGGATAAACCTCATAGTTAAAAACTTTCCTACTGTTGATATTAAGAGAAGTACTTTTGTGCCAAATTTCAGCTTTCAGGAATTACGTTTTTCTAAGTGGCAAAACTTTATTTAAAGAACGTCCTCATCAAAATAAATGCCATGAGGGAGCGTCACCGATAGGTTTTCATTGCAATCATTATTCCAATAATGTTTTGTGTGCCTAACTTCAAATCTCTTCATATGCATCCATGTGTTACAGCGAAAAATGAATCTTGAAATTGTGTCCTCTCATAAACCGCCCGAAGGGATATATTTTACAAGTAGAGTAAGTGAGCCTGTCGTGGGAGACTTTTAATTTCAAACACCCTATTGGAAAAAATTCAGGGGTTGTTAATTCTGGATTTCTGGCATACGTCTCCAAAACCTTGAAATGTGGTGATTTGGAAACAATTGTTTCAGCAATGTCATTGATGCACGGATAGCGTGAACAGTTGCCCTTCTTGGTGGAACCATGGTTGGTCATCAAATTCTATCTCTGGGAGTTTTTGGAGTGTTGAAGAGGCTTGTCATCGCTTGGTATCGGTTAGACCTCACTGTGACCATCCATTGCATCAGGAAAAAATACAGCTGTCACTGAAAATTGAACTAGCAATAAGCAAAATTCCAATCGAGACTAGCAAAAAGTGATGTGAGATTCAGTGATCCATACGTGTCAGTGCATACAGGAAGGTGGTGGTCATTTGTGTGGAACTGATTTCAATATCTAGACGAGGCAAATATCAGACATGGATATTATTTGTGAAACTTTTGAGATTGTAGTTTACTATGATGTTCTAATAATTTTGCTTCCAGTCATAATGCCCATATAAAATTACTTTGAAATGTGACAGGTATTTCATGCTCACCCTTTATTTTCATTTTCTTTCTATAGTCCTATTTTTCCCTTCTCTTTCATTCAGTAATTGTTCGACCAGTTGCACTCAACTTTGCCCTAATTTATATTTTGCATGTGGTCTGCATAGTTGTGTCACTTTCTGAAATAGTCATTCTCAGAAAAAAATTTGAAGCGTAGGAGACAACTCCTAATCGCTCACAATTATTGAAGAATGCGGTAGATAATGAAAGTAAAAAAAAAATTGTTTGACTGGAATGATTCAATGAGTAAGGGCAAAATGAAGAATAAACCAATAAGCTTTCGGTCAATGATATTCTTCTGGACAAGAATAAGAGAGTACAAGAAGGATTGGAGCAAGGGTTGGTAGGAAATATGTAGGGTCCCGTTTAATGGATAAATAATGGAGTTCCCTGAGTTTTACATGGATTATATCAAGGCAAAACTTTCAGAAGTAATAGACTTCTGTGAACTGCTTCACCAGTTCAATGGAAGATGAGAAGGCTTCAACATGGCAACATTGATAACTATTTGTAATCTTGCAGTTCTGGTGCTGATTTAGGGAATTTCCCATTTTCGAGGCGCATCCCGACAGGTAACTTTTATTTACATCGTTCTTGATCAGAACATTGTTTTTCTCTTTATTGAAGCAAACAGAGACTGAAACTGAAACATAGTCCCACAGGTACCTTTTGAGATGCATTTTTAAGAAATAATTATTGGTTCAATATATTTCCCTTCGTTGCTTGCTTATTGGGGAGACAATATAATTTTTTCCAGTAATTAGGCAGATACACGAAACTGAATTGCCGTTTAGAGTATGTAGGAAACAGAAAATGTCAACTTCTTTAGTTCCATTTTCTTACAACACACACAGTTTAAGGTTAACGCTTTCCCGATAAATGTCCATCCCTCTCCCGTTCGAGAGGGTACAGAAGGCTGAAATATATACTAGTACTAGCTAAAGTACATGGCGTTACTCGAGGAAGTTCAATATTTCATACATGACAAAGTGAAGAACGTTAGACTTATGGTTTCCGATAAGTTACCGATCTTGGAGGTCATAAAATGCCCTCGGACCCCTTTCCTTTTTTAACTTCATTTTTTGAGGGGGTTTTGAGATAATTTTTTTCTTTACATTTTTAAGTATTTAACTTTTTTCGTTTTGTGGGATTCTTTAATTTGCGATACATGATTAGCATTGAAATGTAATTTGTATTGCAAAACCTTTGATTTAATATTATTATTATTCTTCTTGCAAAGCTATTTCATACACGATTTTTTAATTTTCCCATTAGGGGCAAAGGCATACAGATTCTTTCCACTTCTAACTCTTGAACACTCTTCATAAAGTTGGCCATGAGAAAAGCAAGGAATCTCCAGATTAACACCTACAACCTGAAGCGACGGTCCTTGAACTTTATTGATGGACATCGCAAGGGCAAGACGCACTTGAAACTGCATTCGCTTGAATTCGATGGGCATATCAGTAGGAATGATGGGTATTCGTGGTATGAATGCATCTCTGCTCGTTGCGCAGCCTGTCAACATTGTTGCTTCAATGGCATGAGGCATTGTATTTTCTCACATAATCTTGTGCCATTGCACTGTCTTATTGCATCCAAGTTCCTCAAGAGTATGATGAGAGAACCAATTTCGAGCAGAAAATTATGTGGCGGCATCCCAGGAGGCTCAAAGGAGTTGGGAAACGCATACTAAACCGCCTCGTTCATATTTCTGAATACTAATACTAAACTGCCTCGTTCATATTTCTGAATACTAATACTAAACCGCCTCGTTCATATTCTGGCCAAAAGTGAGCAGTTCTTGAGCAAAGTGGCCAGCAGACACATCGCCCTGGAAGTGAATTCGCATGTTGGTCATGAGTCCCAGTTTGCGCCAGAGCCTCCAGAGTCTCCCCATGTCTCCAGAGATACGAAGCTTTCAAGCAAACATTAAGTTCATCGATCATTTTTCCTTTTGGAATGACGGTCAGCGTTTGACGTAAAAATCGCCTGCCAAGATTACAATTTCCCCACAAACAAGAATCTGGTTGCCCCTTAGGGCTCGATCGAGTGCCTCCAATGCGTATTTGTGGGACATTGTGCACTAGTACCAATGGATGACTTCACACTATCAGAACCTTGGCTTGTCCCGTTCCTTTTGCTAATGTTGCAAAAAGGGAATTCCGAAAGGGTTGAGTAAGCAGTATAAACAACTTAAAGCAATGTGGCAGCAATTCCGGAAGAGGCCACTACAATTGAGGAGTTCTCTGGAAAAGGGGTGCATGTGCTCATACGCCCTCTTTTCACTTCCGTGTCCATGCGATGCTTCAGGAGACTATTCATAGGATAGGGTGGTCAGCAATTAGATAAGATGCGTATTCGGCAAAGGAGAAGCAGATTTTCCCATGCTCTTACTTTATAGCAGGCCAACTGCCTGGC